TATCTATCTATCTATCTATCTATCTATCTATCTATTGCTAAGTATACTGTTCTGCTAGCTTTAGCCTTTAGCTACAGTTTTACATATTTTAGAGTTTACTGCTTTATTTTAGCTACGTTTATGCTAATTTTATCCTTCAGATAATGTTTTGCTAATTGTAGTTGTAAGTTTTGTTATGCTGATTCTAATTTTAGATTTTAGCTATGGTTTAGTTAGTTTAGCTGTGACAGTTCAGTTTTGCTACTTCAAAGCGTTTTGTTACAGTTTGGTAAACCTTAGATTTTAACAGCTGTTTCTCAAACTTAGGGTTTTACCTTCAAATTAAGCCTTTTAAGTTTTATCTGTAATTATGTTAAATTTAGCCTTTAGCTAATATTCTGCTAATTTTTAGCTTTCAGCAACTATTTTGCTACGTTTTTGCTAATTTAGGGTTTTACCTAAAACGACTAATTTTAAGTTTTAGCTAAAGTTTTTTTAATTATCATGTGCTACTAATGCTAATTTTAGCCTCTGTTAGTTTCAGCTCTCAGCATCCACGCTGAATTTTTCCAGAAAAGGCAAATTTATCTGCATTTAAATACTTGGATTTTATAAAAGAAAATATCTTTAGGAATAAATCTGGCCTGTAAATACTATAAGTTAATAAAAATATTAATTTGTTTTTAAGTTTTATTTTTATTTTTTCATTCGTAGCCTGATTTAGCTTGAAGCTGTTGAAATCCTTGTTGCCTGACAGGTGGCAGATCCTCGCGCCGTTTTAATGAAAATATCTTATCTCTCCTGGGCTTCAGTTAGCTGCTTTTATGCTTTTAGTGTTGTTGTAGCTTCACGTGTGTGTGTGTGTGTTTTGAAGTTAATGTTTCGTTAACTCACGCGCTCCACTGGCTGCAGAACAGGGAAATCAGCTCATATATTAATAAAAATCAACGTTCTCCTGCAGATAAAACACAGATGTTGTAGGGATGTTATAACTTTGATCTTTTTTATTTCACAATTTGTACGTTTTTCAACATGTATCAATAATTTAGGWCATTTTAGTTCAAAACCTTATTAAACATCACATCTTATAAATAAAACATTCATTTGACTGAATGAATAAAATCGTTTCTGATTCGCTCTGATGGTCTGAGAACATCTGATCAGATCTGGGTTCAGCGGTGCCTGAATCTTTCAGAAAGGATCTATTACGTAATTCCTCCACAGTGTCCTTAAAATGTGCACGGCCAGGTGAGTGCACGTGCCACAYCGGTGCTGCTTAGCAACTGCGTGACGAGCAGCGTTTCTTCCTTCAGCCCCAGATTGTGACATTGGACAGGATGTGCTTTTCTCTGGAGTCGCTCTCAGTCTTTTTACTTTAAAGAGGTAAAACCTCGGCTGCTCTCTTCATGTGTGGGCAGCAAACAGCCGAATGACCACTGGAGCCGAATGAAAGGAGTTATTAGAAGCTGCGGAGGTTATTTATGTTCTCTTCATTCAGCTCATTAAACCCCTTCATCTGAGAAAACTTCACTTTTTCCTGCTTGCATCACAGCAGCAACAAGAGAAGCAGATTTATTGCTGCACATGCAGCTTAAATGTTGTGATTTAAAGTTAAAACAAGCAGAACAGAGGCTAAAATGTGCCAAACACAGGCTAAAGGATAAAAACAGTAGTAGAACACAAGCTAAAAGAAACAGACCTGTGGCTAAAAATAGCTAAACAAATGCTAACATTTGCAACAGGGGCAGAAATGACCAAAACTGACTGTAGCTAAAAGCATAAAGGAGCTAAAGTAACGAATAAAAAATGAAATTATGCAGAAGCTAGCTAGAAGCTAAAAATATCAGATGGTAGCTAATAGCTAAAACTAACCAAATAATAGTTAAAAGTTGAAACTAGTAGAATGGTAGCTAACAGCTAAAACTCTGAACTGTAGCTAAATGTTATAACTAGCAGAATGGTAGCTCAAAGCTACATCTAACCAAATAGTAGTTAAAAAGTAACATTAGCAGAATAGTAAGCTAAAAGCTACAACTAACCAAATAGTAGTTAAAAAGTAACATTAGCAGAATGGTAGCTAAAAGTATCAGAATGGTGGCTAAAAGCTAAAACTAACCAAATAATAGTTAAAAGGTAACATTAGCAGATTAGTAGCTAAAAGCTACAACTAACCAAATGGTAGTTAAAAAGTAACGTTAGCAGAATGGTAACTAAAAGTATCAGAATGGCAGCTAAAAGCTAAAACTTGCAGAATAGTAATTAAAAGTTGTAACCAGAAAAATGGTAGCTAAAAGCTAAAATTAACCAAATAGTACCGTAATTAAAAGTTAAAGTTAGCAGAATGGTAGCTAAATGGATCAGAATGGTAGCTAAAAGCTAAAACTAACTGAATAGCAGTTAAAAGTTAATCATAGTGGACTGGTAGCCAAAGGTAAAAAGCAGTAAAATAATAGGTAAATGAGCTAAACACAGGCTAAGAGCTAAAAACATTAGTAGAACACAATATGCATGTGACTATTAATAGCCAAATAAATACCAACATTTACAAAAGAGGCAGAAATGACCAAAACTGAAGCTACAAGCATAAAGGAGCTAGAGTAGCTAATATATAGCAAAATGTTGCAAAAGGCTAGCTAGAAGACAAAAGTATCTGAATGGTAGCTAAAACCTAAAACCAACCAAACAGCAGTTAAAAGTTAAAATTAGCAGAATTGTAGCTACAATTAACTCTGTAATATTATATCAGTAACGACAAGCCAAATGAACAAAACAGCAGCTGAACCTTAAAAGTAGCATAAGGTGCAAAAAGAAAAGAAGAATGAAGGAATTGAAGAGAACTTAATGCGTTTTTATGAGACGTTCTTTATTTTTTTAAAGTTAAATACTTTTAAAATGCGTAAAAGTTATAAAAGTTAAACTGTTGAAACTATAAATTGAATMAGATTAAAAAGAGCCGATGACTGAACCGTGTCATGATGAAGTGGACGGTTTGGAAAACACTTTGTGAACAGCTGAAGCTTGACCCATGTTCCCACATGTTACCTGAGAGCTGCTGTGACCTCACGGAGGCTTTTAATCTGAAGGGGCCACCTGCGCCTTCACAATCGTCTCGGGATCAAGTGTGACGTTAATATTGTTGCTTCAGTCAAATGAAGGACCTCATTAGTTCCACTTCAGCTTGTTGTCGTCGAGAGAATCTGCTCATTAAAAAGGTGAAGACGAGGCCACAGAGGAAAGTCTGAGCAGCTTCCGTTTAGTTTAACAGCTAAAATGATTTGAACACACAAATGTTGGAGCTGAGAGGGTTCTGTAAAACTTGACAATAATAACTTGAAATAACTGCATCAAATGCAAGCAGAGAATTAGCATTTTCAGAAGAAAACAMTGAGTTCTGTTTGCCGAGTTGTTAGAGCTAAAGAAAGCAGAACACTTAACTAAAAGCTAAAATGATCTAAACTCTAGCTAAAAAGAGCATAGCTCTAGCTATAACCTAAATATAACAAAGGGCTATATAAAAGTAGCAAAATCCCAGCTAAAGGTTAAAGTAGGAACTTAGTTGCAGCAACTAGCAAAATMTTTGCTAAAAGCTAAAGTAACAAAGTGGTAACTAAAAGCTAAAAGTAGCAAAAAGCAGACTAAAAGRATTAAAATGGTTAAAGCTAAAATTAACAGTATGTTTGCAAAAAGTAACAAGTGGTAACAATTGGTAACAAACTGTAGCAACAGGCTAGCTAAAAGCTAAAATAACAAAAGGGTATCTAAAAGCTGAAAGTCTTAAAAGGCTAGCTAGAGGCTAAAATTAGTAAAACTGCAGATAAAAGTGCCAAATTACTAGCAAAACTAAATGTAGTCAGAAGCTAACTAAAAATAGCAAAAAGTKAACTAAAAGCTAAAATATCAAGAAAATGCTAAAGTAGCCAGTTGGTAGCAAAATGTAGCAAAAGGCTAACTAAAAGCTAARGTAGCAAAAGCTAAATGTTGCAGAAGTTTAGCCAGAGGCTAAAAGTTGCACAACAGTTTCTAAAGTGCAAATAAAAGCTAACGATTTCAAAGGGGTAGCTACAAGCTAATCATAGCAAACCATAGCTAAAACCTAAAAACAGCTTAAGAAGATTTGAACAGAGCTGAGCAGTTTGCTGAGGCAGTAATGTGAATGCTGACTCAGCATTCAGTCACATCATTAGTAAAGCTGGAGGTGTCGTCTCTTCACACCTCACCTCACCACCCTCTCCCAGATCGCAGGTTTCTGATCGCCAACGCCCAGATGAAAAACTGCGGCATCATCTACTGCAACGAGGGCTTCTGCCAGATGTTCGGCTTCACCAGAGCGGAGATCATGCAGCAGCCCTGCACCTGCCCCTTCCTGGTCGGCCCCGGCACCATGAAGAGCGCCCTGTCCCAGCTGGCCCAGGCTCTYCTCGGGTCTGAGGAGCGCAAGGTGGAGATCCTCTACTACTCCAAAGACGGTGAGACAAAAAGCTGAAACAGAATTCAAACGTCTGAGAGTCTGTTTGGAGCCACTTGTTCCTGTGAAGAAACCTTCTGGCTGCCATAAAATCTGTCCTTCTGGACAGCTTGACTGTCATGGAGACACAGTTTGTCCTCCATCTGTCCCACTCTGGTTACACAATATGTTGTCTTCAGTTGAATGAAGCACACTGAGTTGCACTCATTTTAAACACTTCTTATGTGTGAATGCTGAGTCAGCATTTTGTTTTCTGACCTTTGACTCTGTCAGAAGAACATTAGTTAATCCATTCTGGTTTCAGAAGGTTTAGCTCGTTTAGGGCGTCATGGCTGTGACTTTCGGTTTGTAATTTTTSAATCTTTTAACTTTATTAATTTTTATCTCTGTAGGATTTCTTTTAGGAAAACTTTTAACATTCAGCCACTGATTTGGTCATTTTAGTTTTTAGCTACAGATAAAATTTTAGCTTTTGGCTCCTACTTTTTTTGCTAGCGTTAGTTTTYAGCTACTGTTTTGCAAATTTGRTTCTGTCTACAYTTTTAAAACTCAGTTTTTAGCTACCATTCTGATCATATTAGCTTTTCCTGCTTTTATCTTTCTGATACTGTTTTAGAAATCTTAGCTGTTGCTGTGTGTTTGGCTATTTTTAGCTTTTAGTTACAGTTTTCCTGCTTTCATCTTTTATCTAGTTTTTTGCTAGTATTCAGCTTTGAGCTACTGTTTTGTAATTTTGTTTTCTGTCTTCAGTTTTGCTAATCTTAGCTGTTAGCTTCTGTTTTGCTTTTTAGCTTTTAGCTACTGTTCTGCAAAATCTTGCTGTTACCTTGATTTACTTATTTTTTTTGTTTTTGCTACTGTTCCACTAGTTTTAGCCTTTAGTTACTCTTCTTATATTTTTAGCATTCAGCTACTGATTTGGTAGTTTTAATTTTTAGCTATAGTTGTAATTTTAGCTTTCGGCTACTGTTTTCCTGCTTTTATTTTTAACTACTTTTTTTTGCCAGCGTTAGTTTTGAGCTACTGTTTTGTAATTTTGTTTTCTGTCTTCAGTTTTGCTAATCTTAGCTGTTAGCTTCTGTTTTGCTTTTTTAGCTTTTAGCTACTGCTCTGCAAAATTTTGCTTTTAACTTTTTTTTACCTCATTTTTTTGTTTTTGCTACTGTTCCACTAGTTTTAGCCTTTAGTTACTCTTCTTATATTTTTAGCATTCAGCTACTGATTTGGTAGTTTTAATTTTTAGCTATAGTTGTAATTTTAGCTTTCGGCTACTGTTTTCCTGCTTTTATTTTTAAGTACTTTTTTTTGCCAGCGTTAGTTTTGAGCTACTGTTTTGTAATTTTGTCTTCTATCTTCAGTTTTGCTAATCTTAGCTGTTTAGCTGTTTTGCTTTTTTAGCTTTTAGCTACTGTTCTGCAAAATTTTGCTTTTAACTTTTTTTTACCTCATTTTTTTGTTTTTGCTACTATTTCACTAGTTTTAGACTTTAGTTAGTTTTAGCTATAAAATATAAGCTAAAATACAGTATAAGAAGAGTAACTAAAGCTACATTAGTTACTCTTCTCATATTTTTAGCATCCAGCTAAAACTAACTAAAGTCTAAAACTAGTGAAATAGTAGCAAAAACAAAAAAATGAGGTAAAAAAAAGTTAAAAGCAAAATTTTGCAGAGCAGTAGCTAAAAGCTAAAAAAGCAAAACAGAAG